TAACTTAAACTTAAATACATGCGCGGATAGGCTGGTATCGGCCAGTATCTGGATCGGATCAGAAGTGCAAAAACCTGGATCGGGACATCTCTAATATATATATAGATAGATAGATATATGAAAAGGTGGTGAGACAGATCTCACATGTGATTTAAGGCTCAGAGAGGTAACTTATGAGATTAGGCTACAGCTCTGGACTTTTCTTTTGGAAAGAAGTGAAGGAGGGGCTTCAGTCATTGCTAGTGCGCTGAGACAGACTTAATATTATCAGCGTTCTGAAGGCATTTTAGTTAAAGGAATTTTATCAAAAACATAATGTGCACAAATAAGGGTAAGTTAAATAAGGAATAGTTGTATTAACCATAGATGTATGGTTAATACAACTATTATGGGACACTAGGCAGCTAGTATTGACTAATGGTAAATCCCTAACCTGCACAGGATAGAGAGGCAGATCTGGAGGGGCCCTTATATGCTAAAACCAAAAAGTTTCACGTACGTAAGAAGAAAACTCTCCAAGTTCAGCTCAGTTAATGTTACTCTGTGTGAGAGTGTAGGATTATAGGGAATGTTTTCTGTCACAGCTTTAGGAAGAAAAAATAAATACTCCATTTATTTTGTTTAGTTTTCCTGATGAAATTGACATACGGTGGGTCGACCTGGAGGACAACAACTTTGGTCTGTGTCCCTATTTTCATCCAGCATAAGAGACCAGAGCAACAGGAATGATTCTAAACTAAACTTATCGTTCAACGGGTGGAATATGAAAAGGAGCAAAGCAGATGAATGAAATGTTACTGAATATTAGGTCTGGTTGATGGTGAAGATTCTCAGTCATCCAAGTCATAGTTATTCCAAAAAAGTAAAAAAAAAAAAAAACACTGGACATTGTTTCCAAATTTTACAGCATTTCTCTTCCCATCCAGGAAGCTTTTTCAATTCAATATGTTAGAAATAGTGTTAAATAAGTTCCAACCTTAAACAGAGGGGGTGGACTCAGATTTCAGCTTTTAAAAACCTACAATGTAGCAAAAGCGTTGATTCCTTCCCGCTATTATCACAACCCAACCCCTGTACAGGAGAGCAGCATTGGAAAAACAATCTAGAAATTAGTAAAAATGTCTTAAATTAAGTGTATTTACCCTTAATTTGAGTAGGTAAATGAGATAGTTTGCCAATGGAATGAGTACTTTCACTCTTAGAATGAGATAAATAGATAATATGCCCTTGAAACAAGACAATGCAATTGTTTTTTTCTTATTTTAAATGTTAATCGTCTTGTTCCATTGGCAAAATGTCTCCCTTTCCTCCTCAACTCAAGAAAAAATGCACTTATTTTAGGAAAAAATGACTTTTTCCGTTTCAGTTTGCATGTTTTCTAAGCAAAAACAAGTCTTTGTTGGGCTACTGGATAAAACCTGGAACTCAACGCTATTTCTGACATT